TCAAGCGTGTGACAGGAGCGGCCGGTGGGCTTGTGGCAACCACATGTGATGACCCCGGGCTGGACTCCGCTTCATCCACGGTGAAAGGCGATCCACAGCGCAAAGTTGTAGTATTTCCTCAGCAACCAGCACGGATCAGCTCCAGACATGACGAAGCAGATATTGTCCTCTTTTGGAAGGCCAAACAAAGTGGTTTCGCTTTCACAACGAAACACACAGCACCTTCACAACATGGCGGCAGCAACAATACTACAGCAAGAATAAAAGCTACACCTTCTTTCTTTGCGTGAACATTTGGGTGGTGTTATGCAAATCTTCCCACATTGTGACGTAGACATGTGGGGGCGTGTTAGAACGAGCTGTTTTAGGTAGGCGTGGTTGACTCTTAAATTTTATAAAGAATATCTCTTTGGATTTGAGACTTTAGTCTTTGCAACTTTACAGATCTTCTTTATAAAATCGCATCATATGACCCCTTTAATATTTTTGTGGAAACCATGATATTTTTTCAGCATGATGAATCAAAATTAGTTGGAATATACATTTTTTGTAACATTAGAAATGTCTTTACTGTCAATTTTAATCCACTCTTGCTCAATAAAAGTATTATTTAGAAAATAAATTCTAGTTTCAGGATATCTTGCAAACTCAAACCTGAATTAACTACTGTACGTGAGCACCACAGCTCAACATGTGAAGAGCATGTGTAATAACCATTGTGCCATAGTTCTGACCACTTTGATATTTTGATGTGTTTAGTCGAAAACATGATTTTGGCTCAGATGAAAATGAGGCTTGGAAATACTTTTACAACCATTTTCTATTTTCAACTTTTCCACACTCACTTCAGTCCAACACGGATATTCATTAATAGTGACTTACATAGAACAAATAAAAGCTATTTTAGGTACAGAAATGCGTTTTTCTTTTACATTTGGCAGTACACTGTCCGTTTACAGTCTAGAAAACTTCTCAGTCTCAATAACTTCCTCTTCAGTCCTGTTTGCCATTTCTCTATCTCTCACAAATGACACTAACTTTGTTTTTAAATAATTTTCTTCCTGTCATTAATCCTTATCAATATCTTATCACTATCAGCACTGGGCGTTGAACTAGTCGCAGCTATTCATTAAATAAAAGCCTGTGACACTCAGAATCTGCAACTCAACACACATTACTTCAAATAGCTCTCATTTGAAATGAATGTAATTGCTTTAGGTTCAAAGTCATTTCAAAGAGGAAAAGTGGAATTGTTATGATATATTGTATCTAATGCAATGACATTAAGGGGCCAAAGGGCTATAGTTTACCCAATAATGCAGTGGTTCTCAAACTTTTGACAGCGGCGTACCCCCTGGGACATTTAACATTCTTCTGCGTACCCCCGCTCTTCCACTTAGACCGCAGTCACACCTTTTCTATTAAAGGACAATTTGCCCCCTTAAACTGATTTACAGGTGAATTTTTTTACCTTTATAGAGGCAAATATTTTCTATCCTTATTAATTGTATGTCATGTTTTATGTCATATTCTTAACATTCCATTAAGTGTATTATTAATATAATAAATAAAGCAATAAATGATGGCAAATCGAAGTGATACTTGTAGATTTAAAAATAAAACCGCCAATAGGTGACGGCAAGTCGCTGTCTTAATGAGCCAGGCGTCGCGTCATTCATTCATTCAGTAAAGAAGCAAAATGCTGTAGTTATGAATGGGTTTAATCACTGACTCTCCAAATCGTTCAAAGCCGCAGATTCGTTCACTAATGAAACACCGCTGTATGTTGCTTGGAGACGCAAACCAGGATAAGGATTTCGTTGGAACTATTATTTCGTTGCAAAATAGAACAAACATGACAATATTATGTTTAAAATGTAGGCTACATTTAAAATGTAAAATGTTCACTTAATATTACCTTTTTTTGTTTAACTGTTGTAAAAATTAATGGCACATTTGCCATCCTTTGGATATTCAAGGAAATTTGCATTCTTGCTCGCATCTTAAACATGAAAACAATAACACGCACAGTGTGTCTGTATCGAAGAGAGTTTAAATCGATCTCAGTCCGTGTCAATATTTGCTCTTCATGCTATTAAGTTAAGATCTACTTTAAAGATACATTGAACAGCAGCGCGGTTTGCTAAAGCGGCATATTCAGCGGGCATCCTATCACATGCACGCTGCTTGTGTGGATGCAATCAGTTTTGACGGCAAAAGATGAGGTAAGCTGATTGGATATCATGTATTTGACCGTTTACTTACGGCACTCCCATTTTCCTGTTTTTACAATCATTTTGCTTGTCAGAAATACGTTTGGTTTTAATGTTACTTTTAAGTTGGGGTAGAATTAAATGAATGCCAAAACTCAGAATTTTGTTCGTGTACCCCACTCCGTCATCTCATGTACCCCCAGGGGTACGCATACCCCAGTTTGAGAACCACTGCAATAATGGATATTCTGTCATCACTCATGTGGTATGACATTCTTCTGTGAAATAAAAAAAAAAAGAGAAAGATTTTTTTAAAAGATGTCTCAGTATTTTATTTTTTTTGTCCCTATATTCGATGGTCACCAAAACTGTTTGGTGTTTGGTAACCAACATTATTCAAAATGTAAAGTATCTATCTATATTTTGTTTTCCACAGAAGAAAGTAAGTCATACAGGTTTGGAATGACATGAGAGTGAATAATTGATGAATGAAATGAATTATTTTGGGGTAAACTATGCCTTTAAGGGTTTTTTCACAACCTGTTTCAAAAATAATTCCTTTTTTATTCTTACAATAAGTTCGGTAACGTGTGTTTGACTTTAGTCACTGTAATCTAAACTTTTTGAATTGTTTTCACTTGCAGAGTGTCACAGAATAAATCCACTAGTGCTCTGGACAAAGAAGTGTTTGTTAGTGAATTATAAGGGCAATGTCGTGTATATTTGGCTGCTCTCTTCAGATGTAGTTAGTAATAAGGGTGGTACTTCCTGTCTTTTCATAGAACTGCTGTTTATTCCTTTATGTAATCAACTTTCATGGGTTTTCAAACAAACATAGTCATGTTTTGATTTATCCTCATATATTTGTGGTGGTTTTGGTGGACAGACATGGTGGGAGAATTTACACTTACAGTAATTGTTCTAAAATAGTTTTTACGAAGTCATGTAATAAAGCAAGAACTGTTGCAAATGAAAAAAGTTCAAAGGGAGGGACTTGGTTTAAATGCTTATTTGTAGCTTAAAAAAATTGAAGCAGACATTTGAAAGACGGATTACATTTAAAGGCTCCTTAACTTCTTCTGTTTCACTCAGATTGAATCATGTATTTGTTCAAATGGCTGGGTTTAGAAAGCATGTCTGTGCCTTTGTTTGAACACACACACAAACACACACAGTGTGAACTCTGTACCTGGATGGGTGAATTCACAGGGTGTGCCTGTACCTGAGCAATTTCACACCAGACAGAGAAAAAAAGATCGGAACAGACTAGTACTGTAGATTGTACAGTAAAAGTGAACACAGGATTTTATTACCTACAGGTGGTGCTCATTAGCTGAAGCATATTTCTCAACTGAATATCTCCTGTCTTGTTATTAAGAGAGAGTTTATTCAAAAACAAAAATTCTGTCATCTCAACTTCATGTCATTAAAAACTTGTCATGTGGAAGTCTGAACACAAATGGTGAATTTTGGAAAAATATCCTGGCCACTCTTGTTGCTTCTCCAAAATGACAAAAGCACCATAAAAGTATCAAATAAGTAGTCCAAATTACTTACTGCACTATTTTACAAATCTTCTGCATGAGAATAGCTGCCATTTAAGTTATTTATTGAAAATCTTGACATCTCCGGTCTATTGGTGGGGTCAGAAAAAGTCCATTGTAAATAGTGTAGCAATGTATGAAGCACAGCTCATACAAAACAGCTCATACAAAAGTCACTTTGAACATAAGTGAAATCTACATAGGGAACTTTTTCACCCTTGCCCAAAACTTCAGATTGTGCAGAGTGCTATTGAAATGGCTAGATTTCAACAACAATATTTAGCTGAACAACGGTTAATGTGACTGAACAGGATATTTTTATTAAAAATACACTGTTTGTGCTCCACAGAAGCAGGAAGTTTTGGAGTGACATGAGTGATTTATGAATTGTTTTTTTTTTTTAATTGAATTGTAGTTTTTGGGTGAACTATTTAGCTTTGGGTGTACCGCAATACACAGTAAAGCGCTATATAAATGCTCCATTCATTCATTCATTCATTCATTATTTAACTCTTTC